TTAATGCCCAAAAAAATAATTTCTTTGATTTTAAGGTGAAACGAGATTAAGACAAACCCGTAAAAATTTAACAACCCAAAGTTTTTCATAATTAAAAAAAAAAAAAAAAAGATAAATACAATTCTAATAAATGAATTGTACTTGTTTAAGCACTTCAGTTGAGTAGAGGTTTGTGTTTGTACCTGATGGACTGCAGCTCCGTCCGTCTTCATCCAGCTGGTAACCGTCTGCGCAGCTGCACACAACACCTGCCGTCTGCTCTGACTGACTGCAGTAATGCAGACACCCTCCGTTCTTAAACTTACAGTCAAACACCTCTGAACACACACAGACACATGGTCAACCTACTGTTTGTTCCGAAGAAAGACTAAGCAGTCAACTGCTCAAACTATTTTTGAACAATGCAGTGTGTATTCTGCAGTAAATCCAGACGAACGCAGCATGCAGTGAGAGGTTTCCAGTGAACCTGTTTGACAGTTCGGCCCGCTGTACTGCGGAGGACAGAGACACTCGCGCACGCCGCGGCCCTCGCTGCAGATTCCTCCATTCAGACACGGGTTAAAGCCACACAGATTCTGATCTACACAGGACAACAACTCATTTAACTCCATCATAATCTGTCAGGATGAGGCTTCAGGGTTTATTCAGAAACACTTTCAGCAGAGTGGCTTGAACTGGTTAATAAAGAAAAGTCTTACTCTGATATCTGTACCAGAACTCCATCTATAAGAACACAGGAACATGAGAGTCAGACGACAATGATGGGATTGTATTCTTAAAAATAAAAGTTCCATTTAGAACTAAAGAGATTTTTTAAAAGGTCTGATGTCATAGAAGAATCTTTAAGTGACACAAAGATCTTTTTATTCTCTGGTTCTTTAGAAATTAATCTGCATGTAGCAGCTTTAAAGCAGTGCTTCTCAACCAGGGGTCTGTAAATGAGTTAACCCTGTAAATCCTGACATATTAAATAATAGTCAGAAAAATCTTTTTTTTGTTTGTTATGAAAACGTTTATTGAACAAAATATTTTAAAAGTTTGCATATATGATTTTTGTTGAGTATTATATTTGATCCATCTGGTTTTTATGGCTCATATAGTCTGAAAGTCTGATATAATTAGAATATGGAGGAAAAAAAACAATTTTTATTCAGAGTCTCAAACTATGTAATTTAGTGAAGACAAAAAAAAGATTCTGAAGCTTGTACTGTAAATAAGTGCAATCTTTATAACAGTACAGCAGATACTTACATAAAATGATATAAATATCAGTCGTCACTCTATATCTCCAATAATATGACTTAGTAAGATGAGATTTAAATGATCAAACATATAATGCAATGCAATACATAAGTGAAAATAAGCGAAAACATCTAAATATCAAGATATAATCTGAGCTGGATGTATGATTTCTAGACTTGTAAAAGCCATGCAAACATTTTATTATGACGTTTTTTCTAATTATGTCACGCTCTGAAATACTTCAGAGGTTACAACAGATATAGAAATTGCTATTTTTTTTAGTAAAAACTACTACTAATAATAAATTATAATGTATTAGTAATAAAAACAATTAAAAAGAAGTTGAGAAGCACTGCTTTAAAGAGCCCAGAAACCAAAACTGTGATCTGATGAACCTGATGAAACATCACAAAGACCTTAATTAATCTCCAAAGAGCCGTATGTCAGCACAAGAAGCCCATGCAGAGCAGAATAAGACAATATGGTGTGACGGTACCGTTTTCTCTCTGCTCTGGAAGATCTCGGCCGCCTCCTCCAGAGAGCAGCGCTCCTCATAACACTCGCGCTCCAGATTCCCGGGCTTCATCTCCTCCAGGAAGACGTTTGCCCTTCGGTTCCTGAGCAGATGAACGGCATCACGCCTGTCCAGAAACACTGAACACGATACACACCCTTGATCAGTGATAGATAGACATACATACATACAGACAGACAGATAGATAGATAGATAGATAGATAGATAGA